GGCGTGCAGCGAAAATCGGCGGCAAACCTAATCTGACCATATGAATCCGCTAGGACCCCTACAGAGGCAAGCTCTGATTGGGGCAATAGTCAGGGGAAGATGTTTTCCGCATGTCTTGCTAGTTTTGAACATCCCTGGGGCAGTTTTAACTCTTCGCCCTGCAGGAGGACATGCCCGACCTGACCCTGCCAGGACACGGGGTGGCCCCGGCCAGGCACGGCAGCGACGCGTGGGCGCCTCCTGCGCAGAGGAGCCGCGTGCGCGAGCGAGCCGCCAGAGAAGGGCCCGCACTGGTGCGGGACACTTCGCGCCCTCCGGTGCGCGCGCCCGCGCGGGAGCTCCGCGAGCTCCGGGAGCCTCGCCCCTCTCGTCCCTCGAGCTCCCCCAGCGAGTCCCGGCAGAGCTTCGGCATGCCAGTGGCGCTGCTGGGCGGCGAGCGAGGGGGGGAAGCGAGAAGGAGGAGGCGCTCTCAGACGGCGGCGGGGCTTCTCAGGAGGGCCGAGAGGATTTCTGCGTCGTCGGAGAAGGCTGGTGCAACTTCTCGCAAGGCCCCAGGCCTTCCGATCTTTTTGAGAAGGCAAGGCCCGCCCCTTCTCGCTTCCCCGCCCCAGCTCGCCGCCTAATTGCATCTGTTCGGATCCGCTGGCTGACAAGGTCAAGGTTGCCGACCGATACGGGACGAACTCAGCCTTGCTTTCCTCCTCCTCCTCATCCGCTCCCTTATTGGTCCTGCTCCTAGTCGTCCTTCGCGTTCTGCATATGTATGCCTCCTCCACCTCTTCACTCCTCTCCTTCCCATTAGTCCCACCTCCTTCCTTGCTTTTCTCGACGCGAGCCGCATGGGCGCAACCCTGCATAGTGGGACAACCCTCCAGCTCAGATCCTGCAGCTCCATACAGTCAGGGGCAACGATAGGGGGGGAAAGGCATAAGGGGGGACGCATCGACCCCCAATCGCCCATTGATCGCCGACAGGGGCACCCCGCCCAGGAAGGTGCGGATGCACCATCGGGAGCTTGGCATCGCTCGGACGTGTGCATTTTTCCTTCGGCGAGGGCCATCGAGGAGCATCCTTGATCATTTGGCGACAAGACCACGCACGAAACCGACAAAAGCACAGGGAATGGACATCCGAGCGATGGCGAGGGGGCCTATCGCCGATCTGTCGACGATGCATCGCCGATTCAAGGACGAGGCATCCCCCCTATGCCTGTCCCCCCATCGCTGCTCCATCCACATCACTGTCAGGAAGAAAAAAACACAATATGGGAAAATATGGGAAGTGGGGGGGGGAAGACAAACACCGAGAACCTATGGGAGAAAATGGGGAATCTTTTTTTTTGTGTATTTATTTGTGTGTCCTGGGGCTCCTTCACACTGTTGCGTGCTCCAGATACGGCGAAGCCCCTGCCTCCGCCGGGCTCTCGGGCCGCGCGCGCCGTGCGCCCCTCCAGTCCTCAATGGGAGCGGCGAACGGCATGGAGTGAACTGCTTCGCCGTCGGGGGGACGCCTGTCCCAGTGGCGGGTGGACCATGTGCGCCCCTGCGGTGGCATTCTCAGGGTACCGGCTCTCCAGCCGCCCTGGGACAGGCGCCCCTGGTGACGAACAAGTTGGTTTGTTTTTTATTGTTGTTTTGTTTTTTGTGTTTTTTGCTTTCCTTTTTTCTTTCTTTTTGTCAAACAATAATAATACATGAAAAATCTGCGCCCGCTACAGTCCCTCGTGCCACAGATCCGCAATTCTGTTCTCCCCGCGCCGCCCCCGAAGCCGCAACAACGAGGGCTTCCCGCACACGGCGCCCGAGGGCTCTCCCGAGAGACGGCCCCGCCGCTCCCCGAGGGGGGCTGGCCTGGCGTCGGGCACGCCCCCCTACGGGAGAATATCCCAAAATTGACCTATGCTGGGCACCTCCTCATCACGATGCCAATCTTAGGGATTCCCTTAGTTTTTGAGGGCGAATCCCTAAGATTGTCATCGCCTTTTGGCGTGTCAATCTTAGGGATAGGGATACGTTCGAGGCTGGTATAAAAATGGTCGAGCAAATGCTCTGGAGGGACGATTTTTCTGTTACCTCTTGGGTACCTCTGATCATTCGTTGCGCACGTTTCAGTTTTCGTCCGGCCCCACCGCTCCCAGAGGGGTGCTGGCCTGGCGTCGGGCACGTCCCCCTACGGGAGGACTATCCCCAAGTGGTCGAGCAACTGTTCTGGAGGGACGATTTTTCTGTTGCTTCTTGAACCTGGCATCGCTCGGACGTGTGCATTCTTCCTTCGGCGAGGACCATCCAGGAGCATCCTTGATCATGTGGCGAGAAAACCACGCATGAAACCGAAAAAAGCACAGGGAATGGACGGGAGTGGACGTCCGAGCGATGGCGAGTGGATACCTCTGATCATTCGTTGCGCACGTTTCAGTTTTCGTCCAACATCCGCCTGTGGGAGGACATTGCCCGACCTCCGGCTGGCCCCCTCTGGATTTCCCCCGGGGCAGGCCGCCGATTCTGCTGCTTCGGCCGACGCGTCGCCGATGCCTCGGTGATGCATGGAGGACGTCGGCGGTGCATCGGCGACGTCGACCGAAGAAGAAACAGCAGCATGAACACAAACTGTTGGCGCTCCGCGCGGATTTCTTGGATCCGCGCTGGGCTCCCTGGCGGCGCCTCCAGCGCCGCCTTTGGCGCGCTCCGCGTGCCAGGGAGGCGGTTCCGGCGCGGATCCAAGAACTCCGAGCGGAGCGCCAAACGTTTATGCTTACGCAGCTTCTGCCTCCTTCTAGACTGAAATCGGAGTTTATGTTTTTGGCTGTTGTTCATGCCGTTGCTGTTCATCTTCTGCCCAGCAGCACTTCGTGTTCGTTCTGTTGTTCTTCTTCGGGCCCACGTGGAGAACATCGGGCTCCACACTCCGCCGCACCTGCGATGCCTCGGCGCTGCGGCGCGAGCCGCCGGCCCCGCCTGCTCGGGGCCCATCGTAAGTTGGGCGTGTGCCCCTACAGGAGGAACGTTCAGAGATAGTCAAAGAGTAGTCAGGGGCCGATGTGTCTGCTGTCTTTTAGCATTTTCTGTGTTTGGGCTATTCTTATTTTTCGTCCAAAAGCCGCCTGTGGGGGGGGGGACATGCCCGACCTAGCCCTGGGCGGGGAGGGAGGGAAGACTGTCCGGGATGATCCAGATGGGTAAGGAAAGAATGGGCACGATGCCCAACAGCAGCTCCAGCTCATTCTGGACAGGACTCGCTGTCCGCGCCGCAGCGGACGCTGCTCTGTGAGGACAACGAGCCGCCTGCCCGACAGCGGCCGCTGTCGCTTTTGGACTACAGTTGTTGCTCGGCATTGTGCGCATTTGTTCCGTACCCCTTTCCGGCGTAGGGGGACGAGCAATTACATCAACATAACAATTCGGAGGTCCGCGCGAATTTCTCGGATCGGCGCTGGACCCCCCCCGGGGGACCCCAGCGCCGATCCGAGAAATCCGCGCGGATCTCCGAGCTCTCTTGTTTCTGAAATTTTTCGTTTCCCTAGACATGTGTTTTTGCTCGGCATTGTACCCATTTGCTCCGTACCTATTTTGGGCGTCCAAGACTGGTCGCAGGCCTGCCACGCCAGATTCCGATGGACGTCCTGGGGTCTCAGAGTTGGGTTTCTTGTGGAAGGTCTCTTGTGTACCCATTTTTCCGTACATATTTTGGGCGTCCAAGATTGTGGTCGCAGGCTTGTTTGCGCGCGCGTGTTTGCAGCGACGATCTTGGCGTACCCCCCGTGGCGGGTCGTCGCCTCCCGGCGCTTGGAGGCGGCACGACAGTAAATACGTGAGCTGATCATCTACCTTACCCTCTGCTATCCTATCATGCCGTCCGCCCCGACTAGTTCTTCCTTCTCGTGCTCCTTCTATTGCTCTGCTCCTGCCCCTCCTCCTTCACCTCCTCTTCCTCCTCCTCAATCTCCTGCTCTTTCTCCTCCTCCTCCTCCTCCTCCTCCCCCTCCTCCTCCTCCTCCTCCTCCTCCTCCTCCTCCTCCTCGTCCTCCTCCTCCTCCTCTTCCTCCTCCTCCTCCTCATCCTCTTCTCCTCCTCCTCCTCCTCCTCCTCCTCCTCCTACTCCTCCTCCTCCCTCCCCCTCCCCCTCCTCCTCCTCCTCCTCCTCCTCCTCCTTCTCATCCTCCTCCTCCTCCTCCTCCTCCTCCCCCTCCCCCTCCTCCTCCTCCTGCTGACTGGTCGCAGGCCTTCCGCTTTGCGCGCGTGCCTGCAGCGGGCATCCCGGCGTACCCCCCCTCCCCTCAGCGGATCGTCGCCTCCGGCCGAGGCGGGCGAGGTCGAGGCACGGCGCCTGGCAGGGGGGAGGGAGGGAGGATCGACGAGTTGCCTCGCCACGATCCGTCGTATTCTCATGAAGCTTAACTACACTATGATTGGTAGTATTCTTAACCTCATTGTTATTCGTCTTCTTCTAGTATGTTTAATTAGCATTCATATTAGTAAGATATCACAAGTAGTACGGATGACTCTTATGTTTATTATTGTTGTTGTATTTCTTCTTCTTCTTCTTCTTGCCCCTCCCCGCGCTTCCAGCGGCCTCCATCCGACGCTTCCAGCACAGGGGGCCGGCGGGCCACGGCGCTGTGCCGCTTTTTTCGCCGGGCGCGGGCTGACCAAGCCGTGCCTTGGTGACGCGAGTGCCCGCGGTTTCGGGAGGCTCGGGCGGGCAGGGGGGAGTCGGAGGAGGGTAGGGGGGGAGAGGAGGAGGAGAGGGAGGGCGAGGAGGAGGGAGAGGAGGAGAGGGTGCGGGAGCGGGGGAATCATGAGGAGGAGGAGGAGGAGGAGGGAGAGGAGGAGGAAACGGGGGGTGCGGTTCGGGATGATGAGGAGGAGGAAACGGAGGCCGACGAGGAGGATTGAAGGGGATAACGAGGAGGGAAAGAGGAGACGGAGGCTGAGGAACAGGGGAAGTCGGGGGATGGCGAGGGTGGACGCAGAAGGAGTGAAGTTCGGATGAGGAGAAGGAGGAGGAGGAGAAGGAGGAGGAGGAGGAGGAGGAGGTGGTGGAACGAGGTAGGCAGAGAGGATGTGAGATATGTGGTGAATCAAGACGGTCAGAGAGAGAGGAGGGAGAGTAGGGAGGAGGAGGAGGAGGAGGAGGAGGAGGAGGGGAGGAGGAGGAGGATCAGGGAGAGTAGGAGGAGAGGAGGTGGAGGAGGAGGAGGAGGAGGAGGAGGAGGTGGAGGAGGAGGAGGAGCAGGAGGAGCAGGAGGAGGAGGAGAAGGTGGAGGAAGGAGGTGAAATTGGAGAATGGGGCAGAATGCATAGGAGGAGGAGGAGGAGGAGGAGGAGGAGGAGGAGGAGGAAGAGGAGGAGGAGGAGGAGGAGGAGGAGGAGGAGGAAAAGAAGGAGGAGGTGCATCGATCTATGTATTCCGATGCGTCGTGGCAAGGCCTTGCAGGCCTGAGCCGCCGGCCCCGGAGGCGGGGAGACCTCCCCCGGGGAGCGCCCCGCGGGCGCCCCCCGCCCGGGGAGCCCCGCCCGAGAACCCCCTGCGGGGGGGCTCGGCGTCGCTCGGGCGTGTGCACCTTTGTTCTCGGCATCGCTCCGACGTGTGCATTTTTTCTCGGCGAAGGCCATCGAGGAGCATCCTTGATAATTTGGCGAAAAAGCCACGCACGAAACCGAACAAAACACAGGGAATGGAGGTCCGAGCGATGCCCAGTTTTCTCGGCGGCTACAGAGGGTGTGGTTGTGCCGGGGGGTGGTCTGCGATCGGCACCGCTGGGGCCTCCTCCTGCTCCTCCTCCTCCTCCTCCTCCTCCTCATCATCATCCTTTTTTCCTCCACCCCCCTCCTCCTCCTCCTCCTCCTCCTCCTCCTTCTCCTCCTCCTCCTACTGAAGGCTATGCGACACTAGGGGAGCAAAAAGTGGCATAGACATGAAAGCTCGGAGGTCCGCGCGGGTTTCTCAGATCGGCGCTGGACCCCCTCCCTAGCGCGCGGAGCGCGCCAGGGGCGGCGCCGGAGGCGCCGCCGGGGGGCCCCAGCGCCGATCCGAGAAATCTGCACGGACCTCCGAGTTTTTATGTTTATGTTACTTTTTGTCTTTTGGGCACTGTCCTCGTCGGGCCTCCTCGGGGCGCGGCGGAGAGCTCTGCCGAGGCCCCCGCTCGTCCCCCAGTTTGCCCCCCAGGGTGTTGGTTGCAAGCCACACCCTTTGCAAACCACACCCTTCGGAGTCGCCGAATTTTTTCTCGGCGTGCACCATCGAGCAAGAGAAACACGCACGGAACCGAAAAGTGCACGGGAAATGGACGTCCGAGCGACGGCAAGGACCCGGGACCACCCTCCCCCAGCAAAGACGGGACCTCCTCTGGGACCCCTCTCTGGGAGCCCCCCCCTTGCAGGGGCCCCCCCCTGTCCCTCATGTCATCAGCGGGAGCCGGGTGGTGGGGGGGGGGGAGGGGAGGGCAGCTGGGACCCGAAGGTGGGCGGTCATCTGACCCGGGACTCCCCCTGAATTACCCTTCCCCCGTACCCTTCAGGGCGGGGAAAAGGGGAGGGAATCGACTGATTTACGACGTTTGTGTTTTCCCTGATCGTTTCTACATTTCCGTAGGACTGGCGACGACGACGACGACGACAACGGCGAAGACGACGGCAGCGTCTCACACATGACGAAGGGTCTGTGGATTTATGTACACGCACAGAGAGAGAGAGAGAGACGGGGAGAGGAGATACTGGAAGAAGTAGGATGGTGAGCCAGAGGAGAGAGAGAGAGAGAGAGAGTCCCTGTTTGCGAACCACCACTGCCTTGAGTACTGAAATCGCTGGCAAGCTCGAACCCTCCTATGGAGGGCAGTGTCACGGGCTGGACTGTGAGCACACTTTGGGTCCAATCCGCATCGAAGATGCCTGAGAACGAACGGCAGCGGTGAAGACCGACGTGTGGTAGCAGGCAAGCACACACACAGGATGGAGAGGAAGATCTCGGGTGGGAGAGAGAGAGAGAGAGAGGCCCAACGCGCGGCCGTAGGGCGGGGCCGCTGTCCTTCGCCTCGGAGCGCTGGTAGATGGATCATCCCCCGTCGGGATGGCACACACTCTCTCGGGGAAGGAGGGGGGGGAAACTTAGGGAGGCTTGGGAGGAGGGAAAAGAGAGAGAGAGAGAGAGAGATGGCCCAAAAAGCTCCCCGCGACACTGCCAGGCGGTGTTGCACCCACAGGAGCAAGGGCGGCCAAGTTCGGGAGCACTGGTGACGGCTGCTGGCACTAAGGGGAGACAGGGGGTCGTGTGGAAAACAACCCAGGCACGGGAGCACAGGGCAGGGACACGGGATGTGGTGAGCACGCCTGGTCAGCCTTCCAGCACAGGCCACTCACACCCTAGCCGTGACAGGGTCGCACACATTCTGGGGGGAGCGGGAAAGGTGAGGGAGGGCAGTATGATGTATTAGGTAAGGGAGCAGGTAGGATTAGAGGGAAACCAAAAATTCAGCCCTGGACCTCACGATAAATCTGGAGGTTACCAGAGGCATCACTAATTGGAATCCTCCTCCTACTCGTCTTGGGAACTCAGCCACTCGGGATGCACATAGGGGACGGGGAGGCCAGTGAGACGACCAGCGACGACGGGGATGGCAGCGCCTACCATGCCTGTGATCATCGTCTTCACCATGGCCTGCTCCTCCCCATTGGCGAAGGTGAAGGGGAGCTGCATAGAATTTGAAATCTCCTGAAGAAACCACGTCTCTCTCGTGTGGGTCCAATTGAGCGTCACGTAGGCTTTCATCACCTTCATGAGGCCCCACTCGTCCGCAGGAAAGACTAGCCACAGCAAGAGCGCGGATATTAGGCCAGCTGCATAGCCAATCACCCAGAACTGAAACGAAGCCATCTCCATAGATGACGATGCCGTAGAGGTCGAACTCTTAGAGGTAGAAGTAGTTTTCACGATCGTCTCAGCTTCACTCTCTGATGGTGACTCCGAGTCGGTGTCGGTTCAGAGGGCGCTACCGTTCACGATATTCAAGACCATCGCCGCCGCCTTAGACTTCTGTTTGGGCACCTGCTTCCTGGGACAGTGCGCCTGGATGCATTTGTTCACGTTGCCCGTGATGCCCTTGTCGCTGGACATCGCCTTCTCGAGGATGCTGGCTGCTTCACCCCACGTCACACGCTTGGGCAACGTCGTCTTCTTGCCCAGTAGCGACTGCAACCACCCCTGCTCAGCACGGCGCATGTAGGCATCCGACGAAGGGGCTTCTGCAACTGGCGTCGGCGAAGTGTCACGGATGTCGGGCCTCGAAGCGGACTGTGTAGTTTTCTGATCTGTGTCGCCCTCCAAGAGTTTCGCCATCTTGTCTCCGAATGAACTCTTCATCGCCATGGCCAAGTACTCGCCCTGCTTACGCAAGCGAAGTTCCTCTGCCCTGTCCTTCTTGTCCTTCACGAAAGCCTGGTATTCTGGATCTGCCTTGGCTAAGTTTTCCCTCATCTTGATGATGTCGGTGGTAGAGGCCGTATCTTTCGAGCGGGATCTCGGGCGCTGATCTCGAGAACGGTCCGAGTGGCGATCACCTCCATCACGCCCACGGTCGCGATCATCACGAGACGAGCCTCCACGCTCACGATCTCCACGGCCTCCACGGTTACCTCCGCGTCCTGGATTGTGACGACGCTCACGGCTGTCCCCCCGGCCGTCGCGGTAGTCCCGACGATCACGATCGCGATCCCGATCCTTGTCGCGATCATCACGTCTCCCCTGCGAGTCGTACCACCCGTCGTAGGAGCGCCACCTCTCATCTCGCTCGCCTCCACGGTAGCTCCAAGACGGGCGGCGTCCTTCTCCACCCATGGTGGTGTCCGTCTCGTACGAAGAACGCCAACGACGAAGAATCACTCGAGCCTTCTGTATGGCAACGGACCACGGACAGGCATGGGCTGCGGCGCATATCACCGCCGAGGGGTAGCCCACGAGGTAAAGCTCCAGGGCCAGCTCCAGGATCCAGGAGACCGTGACGGGAACCGACAACTCCAGAAACTGGGCCCGAATCTGACGTCCCGAGAAAAGCGCCACGATCATGTTGAAGCCCCTCGGGGGCTGGCCTGGCCACGGGAGGATGTTCGTCTTCGGACGGGGGCCCTCGGAGGTCTTGTGGAGCCAGATCCTGTTGTCGTTCTTGGGGGCAATCCAGAGGGTGTTCCCATGAGGCCAAACTTCCATATCTAACCAAATACACGGAGTTCCAGGATCTTCCAAAACACTTGCTGGGGATAGTTTTACGTGATAAACCTCTGTCAGGTACTTGAACACGCATAACCTACAATATACTTTGCTGATGCCTAGGATGTCGTCGACATATCTCCTTTGACGTATTTCTATCGACCCCGATGTAATGATAGCACATATATGACGATGTCCCCTAAGTTGCCAAACCCACTCTCGTATGGGTGCGCCAACCTCACCCTGAGTCAAGCCTGAATCTTTTTTCAAGGTGCACTGGAGGAACTGGACAGTGAATTGGCAAACCCCTGGATGGACGGAAGGGTACGGCATGAGAAATCTCGAAACTTCAGAACTTCCCGAGGCCGGATCCAAGGATGTCAGCTCTGGTGCGCTGGTCAGTCGAGCTCCATATCCTCTCCCATCATGTACCTGTGGTCTACCCAGCTCACGTAGGACGTCGCTGACTCCGAGTCCGACTCCGATTCCGATGGCGCGTGGTCGCTCCACCAGCTGGTCTGAATCGCACGGATCCTCACCTCCTGATTGACTTGGCGCCACTGATCCTCGAGGTGCCATAGCCACGGCCCGAGGGTCGAGTACGTCGTCGAACTCAGTTGTACCAAACATCGCAACCAATCTGCACGAAAGGCTAAGAACTCACGAACGATCCTGAATAGTGTATTATCACCTAAGATGTCGAGGACTGAAGGAGGCATGGATGAAGAGGGGCACGTACCAGAAGAAGAAGAAGAAGACGAAAACCTGTTTGATACACGCGTCGGACTCTCAAACACGTAGCGTACACTATGAAGCGCGCGATCCTTGGCTCCCCGTTGCCTTGAGTAGGCCGTGTCGAACCAAGCTATGAGAGAGTCCCTGTTTGCGAACCACCACTGCCTTGAGTACTGAAATCGCTGGCAAGCTCGAACCCTCCTATGGAGGGCAGTGTCACGGGCTGGACTGTGAGCACACTTTGGGTCCAATCCGCATCGAAGATGCCTGAGAACGAACGGCAGCGGTGAAGACCGACGTGTGGTAGCAGGCAAGCACACACACAGGATGGAGAGGAAGATCTCGGGTGGGAGAGAGAGAGAGAGAGACAGCGGGGGGGGGGGGGGGCAAAGCGCAAAGCGAACGTTTCCATGTTTTTTGTTGAAGGTCTTGCATGCTAGTTGTTTTTTGCCGCCTTCGTCTGCGTGCTTCGTGCAGTGCAGCGCAGCCCTTCTGACCCGATTCACAGAAGGGCCGTTTGAAGCAGCGGCCACCCAAGAATGCGAACGAGGAGGAGCGCCCATGTCTCAATCGGGCATCCTCCGGTTATAAGGTAATGCGGACGTTATGCAGCATGCTGGCGCAGTCGCCCGCCCGCAGAACGCGCACTCAGGAGCGCATGCTTCGCCGCTCGCGGGGACGAGTTGAGTCATGAAATCCAGGAAGCACCAGCGATGCTGTACAGTCAACCCGAATAGTGAGCATGGGCAGCCGTCCTAAGGATACCCTTGCATCCTTGCCTCCTCGGCCCATCCTTGGCCGCTTTCGCTGGCCGCGCCCCGCCCGCAGAGTGTCGACATGGCCTTCCAAGGCCCTCGCATCCTCATCGTGCATCCTTGTGATACATTTAAGTCGGACGTGCCCCTCTACAGGAGGAGTATTCAATAATGGTATAAACATAGGATGGGGACGATGTGTGTTGAGTATTGTTTGGCCATGCGTCAGCATGTTTTGACTATTGTTTTTTTCCAAAATCCGCCTGCAGGGACGACATGCCCGACCCAAGGACACGGGCTGACTGTAACGCACCCCATATCCCCAAGTCGCTGCCTCCCAGTCTCCATGTCGTCCCCTCGCTGCGCGGGGGGAGCGCCTCCCTCGAGCGCCGCGCGCCCCACGGCCCCGCCGCTCCTGCGGGAGCGAGAACCCCGCTCGGACGAGGGCCCCCCCTCCGAGCGCGAGCCCTGCTGGAGCTCCGCTCTCCAGCACCGTCGACCCACACCGCAAGGACCTTGGCATCGCTCGGACGTGTGCATTCTCCCTTCGTCGAGGACCATCGAGGAGCATCCTTGATGATTTGGCGAAACAGCCACGCACGAAACCGAACAAAAACACAGGGAATGGACGTCCGAGCGATGGCAGGGGACGGGCGGCTCTTCTTCAAGGCTGCCCTCGCAGCCCTGCCCCCCTCGGCCCGTCCGCAGCGGCGTTCGCTGGCCAAGCTCGCTCGAGAAGCGTCCACAGGGGGGCCTTCCAGGGCCCTCGCGTCCTCACCGCGCATCCTTGTGATGCGGGCCGGCCGGATTCTTCTCTTCCTCGTCCTCCTGCCTCGCCCTCCCGAAACCTTGGCCGTCGAGGAGGGAAAGCAGGGCAGGGCAGGGGAGGTGAACTGCCGCGCCCCTCCCCCAGCCCTGCGTCCTCCGTCGCTCCTGCTCCTCCTTTTGTCCGTCCACCCTCGTGAAAGACGACGGGGGGGGGCGTTTTCGGCCTCGTGGGGGCCCTCGCCGCGTCCCGGGACTGGCGAGCAGCGCTTCGGGTTGTGAAGCGGGCCCTTGGGGGAGAGGATCGGGCCCCCCGTATGGACGGAAAAGTCGAGACATCGGATGTGTGGGTCTCTCCCTCCTCGAAACCTGTCTTTTTCTCTCCTTCCCCCACCTGCTGATGCTGCTGCTAATTCATGTCTCCTCCTCCTCCTTCTCCACCTTGTCCTCGTTCTCGTTCTCCTCCTCTCCTCCTCCTCCTCTTTCTCCTCCTCCTCCTCCTCCTCCTCCTCCTCTCCCCTTCTCTTCCTATCTTCTTGCTCGACGGCGACGACGTCCAGCAGCGCTGACGACGGCGATGTCGCCGTCGGCGGATACCTTACCCACACTGCGATGACTCTCGCAGGTAGGTCCTTGCCGGCTGCTTCACCAGCTTTGCTGCTGGCATTTTTTTCGCCTCCGCCAGGCTCGGCCGCGGGATTGGCGAACGCCAGCTATACACCGACACAGATCGCGGCTGGGTCCTCGTCCTCCTCCTCTTCCTTCTCCTCATCCTCCTCCTCATTACCCACCCCCTCCTGGGTCGGCGCATGGGGCATCCCAGGCATCAGACGTCTTTCTGATCCCTACAACTCGGCTCCCCAGGCGGTGTGGACCCCCTCTCGGTGATGGGCTTCGCATCACGAGTAGTTCTTTGACGACCCCAGGTGCTAGGAGGAGGAGGAGGAGGAGGAGGAGGAGGAGGAGGAAGAAGAGCGGTGAGGAGGCCGAAGGGGAGGCGCAGGGGAGTGAGGAGGTGCCCCAGCAGGAAGGCGGGGGGAGGCTCAGGGCTGGCGGTCGCAGCGAGGCCATCCGAGCAAGACGCCTCGAGAGGGGGCCAGGCGCGCCTTGCGAGCGGCTCGCACAGTCGCGCGCGCGCCTGTGGCCTTCTCGCCCTCACCGCGCCTGCGTCGCTGGGGGTCGCGCTTTCCAGACGCTCCAGGGCGCACGCGCGCGCCCGCTTCGCCCCCCGGTTGATCTCCCCATCTCCAGCTCTCCCGCGCCCCGTCCTCTGCCTGCTCCTCTCTCATTGCCCTCCTCCCCCTCCTCCGCCTCCTCCTCCTCGTCTTGTCCTCTGGTGGAGATCTAGGCCTCCCAGGTGGGATTGGAGGAGATGGGGACGGAGGATCGCGTCGCATCGCCGATGCATCGGCAATGCGGCTCGATGTGGAGCCCGATTCTCTCCACGCCGACGTTGCCGATGCATCGCCGACGTCGTCGCCATACTCCGACCCCTTCCACTCCGACCCCCATGTGAGGAACAGCCTGGCGCCTCGCGCGGCGCACAACAGTTGCATCATCTAGTCCACACGTACGCTCCGTAAGATAGGAGTCGACGTTTGTGCGGCGACGCTCCGACGTAGTTCCGACGTGAATCGGATACACATCCGACCTCGTCCGATGTGAACCTGACGTGCATCCGACGTGGATCCGACGCAAATCTGGTCGCAAGGTGCCGCGCGAGGTCTCCCAGATTATGCTCGTGACTCTTCCCTTCTGTTCCCTCCCGTCCCTCCTGCCTATCGCCCCTTCCTGCCGCCTCTCAGCCAGCCCCCCCCCCTCCCTTCCCGTCCGCCCCTCATCCCTTCCCCTTCGCCTTCCCTGCCCCCTGCCTCCTCCACAGTTACACGATATGAATACTACTCCCCCCTCCCCTAATGACGTCCGGAAGATATCTGGCCCCCCTCCGCGTATTGTTTTTACACAGCCCGGCAACTGGGATTTCGCTTGGTTTTTGTTTTCACATTGTTGTTTCCGCTGCAGCGTTGGCTCCAATCTTGCGCCCGTGGTTGTTCGAAATCGTGCTCCCGCTACAGCGCGGGCTTTTTCGGTCCTTCCAAATAGGCCCGAGCATTTAGAAAATGGCCCCCCGAAAAAACCATCACAAGTGATTACAAATTCGGTGTCGATTCGTTGATGTTTTGGGCCGCAGAACCCCCCCCCACTTTGGGGCGTCGTCGTTTTCAGGAAGTATCAAGCGGGAACACTGTTACTGCTTTGAGAAGGCGATGTTGAAAGCAGAGCCAGGGGGTGCTCTCCGTTTGCACCGGCGCGTGTGGAGCTTGTCGGGGAGCCCAATGAGCTAGACATGGAGCCACGATTCCAGACTGGCCCAGTCCTTTCGAAGACGATACACTTAGCCTCCAAGGAACCCGGCGCCTTGACATGACATGTTGTGCGGTGTTGTGTTAAGCGCCGCTGTGCGATGCCACGCTTTGCGTTGCAATGCTTTGTGGTGCAATTCTTCCGTGCGCAATGCCACGCCATGCTATGGCATGCTACGTTCTGCCGTGCTCTTCTACGCCATGCCATGCCGTGCTCTACCCTGCATCTCGCACCCTCTCGCCATCACTGCCCTGCTCGGCAGCCGACTGTGCGAGTGGAGAGCATCTGCGCCATGGTAAGGGATGGGGTGGAGGTAGGACGTCAACTATGACGCGATCGCATCTAGTTTGCCCCTCCCCCCCACCCTTCCCCCGCATTCCCGCGGCCCTTCCCCCCCCCCGGTGCCGCCTCGCCCCGTCTCCTCCATGGATCCCTCGCCGCCCGCCCCCATCCCCTCCCCAGATCCTCTCATGATGCCCCCCCCATCCCCTCTCTCCCTCCCTCCCCCCCCAGCCCTCCTTCCTTTCCTGCCCCTCCCTCCTTCCCTCCTCCCCTCCCTCCTCCCCCTCCCCTCCCTCCCGTGTGCGTTCCTCTCTTCAGCTCCACGGACAGCAGCCAGCCTGTTTCGGCCAACATTGCACCGCCTGCGTCGTATTGTAGGGCCTCGGTTGACAACCGCACGTAGGTGCCAACATAGGTTTTGAGGATCATCGGCTCACTCTTTCTCCCATCTCTCCCTCCCCATCCTCCCCCCTCCCCAGCTCATGTCCCTCCCGACGATCCCCCATTCCTCCCTCCTACCCCCCTTTCAGGGTACATCTTGATCCGATCGATCCGATCCGATATCTCGACCGGTCCCCCGAGCCGCGTCGAAACCCCGCGAATGCCCAGAGGAGGACGAGGAGGGTGGTCTTTCCACATAATCCAACGCGATGTCACACCGCTCAGACTAATCTAGTGCAGGCTGGCTCCATCTTGTTCGATCACGGGTTCAACATGTGCTAGTCCGGCTTGATGGGCCCCCAGGCGGGCGTAGCCTTTAGTCGTTCTTGTTCATCCCCATCCGCTCCACCACCACCCCCGCCACAAGGCCCGATGCCACGAGGGCGTCTTCCATAAGAGAAGGATGAGGAGGAGACCGGTCCTTCCCCCGTCCGCCCCACTTCACTCCCACACCGACACCACTCCTCTCAGGAGGGAAAGAAACACACAGACACAATTAATCGCCCCCTCCCAGGAAAAATATGGGAAGATATGGGAAGCGTGGGGGAAGACAAAAACCCAGCAAAGATGGGAAAACATGCGCAATCCTTTTCACCTCTGTGTGCTTATTTGTGTGCCCTGGGGCCCCTTCACCCTCGTGCAGCGCGCTCATCGTCTCTTCCAGAGGGCGTCCAATCATTTTTCTTCGCCCGCCGCTGCACCGTGCCGCGGGGGCCAGCTCCTCCAGCAGCCGCCGAGCCGCTGCTCCCGAGGTGCGCTGAAGAAGTCCTGCCTGGCGCGCTTCCTCCCCGGCCGGCTTACCCCTCCTCGTTCTCTTGCCCCCTCTCTCTGTCGGGAGCGGAAAAGAGGGGGGTGATGACTAGGGGGGGTGGATTTCATGGCGCGGGCCATGATTTGTCCCCAGATTTCATGGCGCCTCTTCTTATCGCATTGCGTCCCAGGCCCCCCCGCTGGGCCGCGCACATGCCGCGGGTCATGATTTGCACCCCCCCCCTCTTGGACCCCCCCCTCTTGGCCGCTCCCGACTCTCTCTGCACGAACGAAATGGGCACGGAAAGAATGGGTACATACAATGCCCAACAGCAGTTCCTGTTCTTTTTGACCAGGACTCGCTGTCCGCGCCGCCGCGGCCTGTGTCCATTCGAGACAGGAGGCCTCCTGCCCAACAGCGGCCGCTGTAGGTTTGGGACAGCACTTGTTGTTGGGCATTGTACCCATTCTTTCCGTGCCCATTTCGGGCGTTCAAACTCTCCTCGCCTTCTCGCCCACCCCTCTTCCTCATCCCACTTCTCCCTCCTCTTCTTGCCATCCCTCGTTGCCGTCGTCGCTGCCGCTGCCGGCGTACGCCGGCCCTCCTGCGCGGGGTGCCAGAGAGGGAAGGCCACGCAAACGCCTGGGCGCTTGCGTGGCCAGCGGACCGCGTCGGTCTTGCCGCGACGCAGCCCGTCCTACTGTTTCGGTCTTGCCGCGACGGCACCTCCAGCCGTTCCTACCTTCGGCTCCCCTTCCTTCCCCCGCTCTGTTTTCTCGCTCTGTCCATTGTCCATGCCTCATTCCCCCCCGCTCTTTCCCTCCCTCCCCCCTTCTCCCCCCCCCCCCCACCTCCCTCCCCCTCCCCCTTTCTCTTCCTTCATCCTCTTCTATTCGCTCCCGCCTTTTTTGGGGTGCGCACGGTTGAACTGTCGCGGAAGTTGCGAATCACACCGTTATCAAACCAGGATTGTTTTCGCCCCGCATCACAGGGTTCGACCAACGGACACGGCCAAAAGCAGCAAGATGATGCGTATTTTATTAAGCCACGCGCATGCCGTGGTGTCGCGTGTCGCGCTTTCTGCTCAGACAACGCTGTGTGTGCATTCTGGATCGTTTCGTTATGTCGGGCCTGTCCCCCTACAGGGGGATTTTCGACGACAAATAAAACGTACCCCCAACATGGTCAAAAAATACTCCAGAAATAGTCTGGGGGGGCATTTTTTGAGTATTTTGTTGGCCTCTTTGGAGTATTTTTGGGGGCCATTTTCATTTCTTCGTCGAAAATCCCCCTGTAGGGGGACAGGCCCGATCTAATCGCTGCGCTCCGGCGCGTGGCCCTCCGCCTGGGTCCCTCTGCCGTGAGCCTGGTAACGTGCAGCAGTTCAGTGCTGCCCGCCCCTGCTCAGCACCCGTGCCGCCTGGCCCCCCCCCTAAGCTTTTGTCGGGCGTGTCCCCCTACAGAGGGATTTTCGACGAACAATAAAAAATACCCGACGCATATTCCAAAAAGGTGAACAAATACTCAAGAAATAGTCCCCGGACTATTTTTGGACTAATTTTCGACTATGTTTAGGGTATTTTCTATTTTTCGTCGAAAATCCCCCTGTAGGGGGACAGGCCCGACTTAACCCTAAGCGCGGACTTGGTGCCCGGCGGCACAAGGCGGGCCGCCGATCCGCTCGGGCCGAACGAAAGGGTGGGATAGGGAAAGGGGGGGGGTACGAAATCTAGCTGGTTTCGGCCCCGCCGCTGGGCCCATTCCTCGACGCACGGGCGCCTCTCGGCGCTGGGAGGCGCTGGGAGAATCACCCACGTGAGCTGATTCTCTACCCTACCCTTTGCTCTGAGTCGGGCCTGTCCCTCTCTAGTCTGGGGACGAGTTGTGTTTACTATGTTTGGCCCTTTTGGAGTACTTTGGTGACTGTTTTTCTACTTGTCGTCCAAAGTCCGCCCGTCGGGGGGCATGCCCGACCTGACCTTCGCTGTCCCCCCCCCTCGTTCCCCCCCGCGGCGGGCCGCCGAGCCGCCCGCGGGCGGCGGGGAGGTGTGCAGTCGGGGCGCTGAAGAAGGAGCCCTTCTCGTTGGGGAGGGGCTCCGCGTTCCGTTCGGGCCGGACGAAGGGGGGGGGATTGGGAAAGGGGGGGGTACGAGATCTGCTGCATGCAGCTGGTTTCGGCCCCACCGAGGCGCCCATTCCTCGATGCATGGCCGCCTCTGGCGCCGGGAGGCGCCGGGAAAAAATCAGCTACGCGAGCGGATTCTCAAACCCCCCCTTTGCTACCCCCCCCTTTCGCCCGACCCGATCCTTGATTGTTTCATAGCTTGCCTTAGGTGTTCCCTTGGTTTTCGATGATCCAGCAGTGGCGAAGCGTCCTGGCTCGCCTATAGCCCTGCCAAGCAATGTTCTGAGAACCTTTAGTGGTTCCCACGCAATGTTCTTAGAACATTTCTGGCTGGGACTGTCTTGTTTGAACACATCGGGTTAAAGTTCCAAGAACATTGTTTTTGTTCTCGGAACACTTTTCGGGGGTTCTAAGAGCACTTCGTGGCAGGACTCTAGGAATGTCGGGACGGGGCCGGTCCCTGCTCAAGATGGGAAGGCGAGCTTTAACTCGTAGGAAAAAGCGGGCCCCGTCTCTCACTCAGGGCTCCTCAGGTCAACGCCCCGGCTGTAGCCGCCGCGGGCGGCATCCCCGAGCAGGCGCGCGGCGCGCCCGCAGCGTGCGGGCCGCGGCGGGCCTCCGCGCACCGCCGCCTCTCTGGCCGTCCCCGGGGTTTGGTCGTGAGGGCCTGCGGGCCTGGCCGTCGGCGGCAGGGGCGACGCGCTCCGCGGGAGGTATGCGCGAGGGCCGGGTGGAACTCAGGGCTGGACCTGTTGGGCGCTGCGTAGCGGGGGGATCGTAAATGGGGGGGCGGCGAGTGTGGTCCGAAGAGGTACCCAAATGGTACCTAAACGAGCCCCCTGGGGCTCTGGAGGGGCACGAAAGGGAACCTTTTCTGACCCCCCCATGTGTGACCCCCCATTAAGCCACGCCCAAACCTAAACGGTGTTTTTGGCGATTTCGTGGGCCGTCGTCGTTTCGCGATCGTTCTGCGGTGAAGGCGGGTTCGAGACAAAAGAAAGCGAGGGCAAGGGAAAACAAACACGAGAACGAAGAACACCGTTTAGGTTCAGCCCTGGTGGAACTCAGATTGATGAGCGTGTTTTCCACCACCACCATAAGTTGGAGGGGGGAAGGGAGGAGGAGGAGGGCGAGGAGGAGGAGGACGAGGAGGAGGAGGCGGAGGCGGAGGCGGACCCCCCCCTCCAACTTCTGGTGGCGGAGGTGCAAACAACGCCCATCATAAATGGATCATCGGGCGGTGATGACCGGGTTGGTTGAAAGGGTGATGTCCTGGGTGTTGTGCTCGGCGGCCCGAAGCAGCTCCCAAACGAAGCCTTTGCGCGTGTGACGTGCGCGCCGCCAGGGAAGTGGCGCCGTGGGCGCGCGGGAGACGCGGCGCGGGATTCGCCGCAGAGCTCGCAAATCTTCCCTGGAGCCGAACGAGGGTTTCGTCCCAGCGCCGCGTTGACTTCTTGCTTGGGGCCAGCCGTCGACCCAATCACTGGGAAATCTGCGCCCGCCAGTCCGGGGGAGCTGGGGGAGCGTCGCGCTTTCATCGCCCACCCGTGCGCCACCTGTGGGGCCGCCGAGCCCGCGGAACACAACATCTACCCCTCTGCATGTCGAGCTCTGCCGATTCTGGGCAGCTCGCCTGGCCTCGTCGCGCGGGAGCAGCGGGCTCGCGCGCGCACGCTGGTCACCCGGAACCCGCTCGGTCGCCGGTAAGGGTTGATTCCAATTTCCAGGCCAACATGGCGATGTTCTAGTGTAGACAGTGCAGAACTCCCCGCGCGCGAGCGCGCGCGTGGGGCGCTTTGTGTTGCCGACAGAACCTAAGAGTCGCCATGTTGGTTTGGAAATTAAAATGAACCTTGACCAGTGATTGATTGGGTTTCCAAGATAACACCGGTGTTGTTTGATGTTTTGTTCCTACCAGGAACACCCAAAACGTGCGCGTGCGCGTTGTGAGACCTGTCTTGCCCACAATAGACAAGCTTACGTGTTGGCCTGGAAACTACAGTGAGACCGAGCGGATTTCGGGTGACCCGCGCCCGCACGCGGGTCACCCGCCGCGCGCGGGTGTCCATGGTCACCGGCGCGCGCGTGGAGAGTTCTGTGTTGTCCGCAATCGAAACATTGGCATTCTGGTTTGGAGACGAATGCGAGTTTGTCACAGTGACCGATTGGAGTTCCAAGCTAACGTGGGTTATCGCGTATGTTTTCTACACTGGGCAATACGGAGCTCACCATGCGCGCGCTGCGATCCGTGTATTCCCAAAGTATATACATCACAGTGTTGGCTTGGAAAGTGGCACATACCCGTTACGGCGACCAAGTTGACTTCAAGAAACCGTCGTTTCTGTTGTATGTGATGAAATCGAACAATGCAAAAGTCTTCCCCGCGCACGCGCGCGCGCGTGGGGGGCGTTCTGTGCTCCCCCCCATCGAAAAGTCGCCAGGCTGGTTTGGAAGCTAGAGCTAACCCATGACAGTGACCAGTTGGATTTCCAAGGTAACGTTGGTTCACGTGCATGACTCGTTCGCATGGCAATACAAAGCTTACTACGCTCGCGCGTGGGGGGTCGTTGTGCATTGTCCACAATGGGGAAATCTGCATGTTGGCCTGGAAACGAAAATGAAGCCTTAACGGTGGCCGGCCGGATTTCGGGTGACCCGCGCCCGCGCGCGGGCCATCCGATCGCCACCGCGCTCGCGCACGTGGCAGGTTCTGTGTTGTCCACAATCGAAAAGCAGCCATGCTGGCTTGGACATTAAAATGAACCTTTTCTAGCGGCGACCAATTGGGCTTCTAAGTTAACGCGGGTTTCCGCGTATGTTATCCACGATGGACGGCACAGAATGTTTCAAACGCGCGCGCGTGGGGAGTTCTGTATTGTGTGCAATCGAGAGGTCGCCATGCTAGCCTCGAATCCAAAGTGAACTCTTGACGGCGGCTGAGCGGATTTCGGGTGACCCCCGCGCGCGCGGGTCACCCGCCGCGCCTTGTAGCGCCCGCGATCGAAGAGCCGCCACCTGGGCTCGGAGAGCAGAATGGGCCCGCAACGGTGGCCGAGTGGATTTCCAAACGAACGCGGGTGCTGGGTATGTTTTCTACGATGGACAATCCAGAGTTCACCATGCGCGCGCGCGTGAGGAGCTCTGTATCGTCCCCAACAAAAGGGTCCAGACGCCCCGTGGAGGCCCCTCAGGTGATCCAGCACGGCCCCCGAGAGTGGCAGGATTGCCCATGTGGTGTCCAAGGCGACCAGGATGGTCTCCAACACCGCCAGGATGGCCCTACCTAGCCTCCAAAGCGGTCCAAGATGCCCTCCAAGGCGAACCAAAACAACCCCCATATTAACCCATGACGACCCAAGATGGCAGCAGCACGGCTCCATACTGCCCCCAAAGGAAAAGGATCCCGCACCCGAAAGGCCCCCAGGAAACCCTAACAGGCCCCAAAAGGCATGTTCCTCCTCGTCGTTCCTCATCCTCCTGTCCCCCGTTCCCCCTAACATCCTACCGCGCGTGTCCCCCCCCCGATGTCTTTTCAACGGCCGTGGGAACACGCAGTCCAATACTTTGGCCAAGAAGTGACATGGCGTTTGACCACGCAGGCGGTTCCAAAAGGTTGACGGCTGTGGTGATTCACAGTAGGCGCCGTCAATGCTCCTTGTTTTCGCCCCCCCCCCCCCCCCGCCGCGCTCCTGTTCGACAATACATTCAATATACGCGATGTTCTATACATTATAGATTCCTCTGTCTTGCTTGTTCCCTCTCCCTCTCCCTTTTTTCCATCCGTTTTTCCCCGTGTCCCTTTCTGTCTGTTTCTCTTCGGTCTTACTTCTCCCTGCTTCTACTCTGAATTCGCTCTGTTTCCCATCCGCCTGTAATCTCCATCTTTTTCTCTCTAAGCTGCACTGTGTTTTCTGTTTTTTGTTATGTTTTCTCCACTCTGCTATCCACGCTCTCATTCTGTCCGGTCGCAAGCACCCAGGGATTAGGCCGCTGGCAAAAACTCGGGGCCCAGGAATGGCACAATTTCAGGAACCCAGAGCCCTAAACGGGAGAGCTGGGAACCTGGCTGCCCGCCGAAGCCGGCCCGAATGGGGAAACGGGGAGCCCAGGCGCCCACCGAAATCGGCCCACTTGTTCGCTAAATGTTTTCGGCATCCGCCAGGGCCTTTTCAGTGCAAGCATTGCGTGGGCATGCAACACACACACACACACACACTACAGACGCGACGCGCGCCCTGCCGCGCACCCTTCCGCGCACCCACGTGCTCACCAGCTCGGGGAGACCGCTGCGGCGGGGGAGAGCCGTGAGCACGGCCGTGCTCACGGCCGCTTGGCCGTTCACACGGCCGCGTTAACAGCCACGCGACCGGTGGCACGGCCATGTGAACGGCGGTGCGCGGGGTTCCAAAACATGGATGTTTCATTTGTGTTTCGAGGAATCGCCGTTAACACGGCCGTGTTGACGGTTATGTGCGGCGTTCAAAAATATTGAATTTCATGTTTGTTTCAAGGAATCGCCGTGTTCACCGCCAAACGGCCGTGAACACGGCCGCGGTAACAGCCAAACGGCGGTTAACACGGCCGTGTTAACGGCGATGTCTTGAAAAAGCAATGACACATCAATTTGTTTAATCCCCGCGCGTAAGCGTGAACGTAGCCGCGTTCACGACCAGGTTGCCGTGAACACGGCCGTGTTCACGGTCAGGTGGTCGTGAACACGGCCTCCTGGGGCCATCGCGGTGCCTTTTTTGGGCCATGTTGGAGTCCGTTACGTCTTTTTTGGTGTCCTCTTGAGGCCCTGTTGGGCTCTTGAGGCCCTCTTGGGGCCCTTATAGGGCCCCCTTGGAAGCTTCTCGGGTCCTCCTGGGGCTCTTTAAGGGGCACTCTTGGGGCGCTCGAATGGCTCGTTTGGGACCCTCCTGGAAGCCTTGAGGGCACTCTTGAGACCATTGATCAAAGAAAGGGGGGTGCTCAGTTAGCGTACCCCCGTTGAGACCCGAACGTGTATCCCCCGGGGCCCTGTTGGGCCCCTCTTGGGGCGGTCTTGGGGCCTACCTGGGCCCCTCTTGGGGCCCTCTTGGGCCATATTGGAGCCATCTTGAGGCCTCGAGAACGACCGGACGCGAACAGGCGAGAAGGCTAAACACATCGAAATTTCACCATGGTTGTGAATGAGTTGGGCCTCTTGGGGGCCTCCTTTGGGGTGCTCGGAGGTCACGTGGAGCCGTCCTGGGGCGGTCTTGAGGGCGTTTGGAAACATCTTGGCCGCTATGTTGTACGATCTTGGGCTATATTGAGCGATCTTGGACTCCATGTGGAGCTCTCTGGAGCTTTCGTGGAGCCATCTTGGGCCATCTTGGGCGCTTCCACTTCTCGCGACACGCCCCGTCCAGACCCAGGGGAAGGGGCCGGGGAGGGCGCCCCCCCCCGCCCGAAAGGGCTTCGCAGAGCGAGCTCCCCAGACCACCCACGCCCGAAACGGCTGGAGGGATTTTTCACGCTTCGCGCCTCCCCACCAACTTTGGCTGCGTCCCAACTGCGGTTGGCGATGTCGCTGCAGCTCAATTCCTTCCCGGTGACCCTGCTCTCGGGTTGTCGCACGCTTGCGGCTCTCTGGCAGCCCCGGCAGCTTGCAGCCCCTGCCCCTGGCACCTCTTGCAGCCCAGGCGTCTGAGGCTTCCCCGGCGGTAGGTCTTGCTCTGCTCCGCGCTAGGTAATTAGGCCCTCGCGCGGCCCGCTCGGACCTTACTCGCCGCTGGCGCTCTCGCCTGCGGCTGCTGACAAAAAAGTCTTCCCACCAACCCATCACCAGAACAGACAATGGGAGAGCTGCCCTGATCAGGGATGAGTAGCCGCATGCACCGCAGCAGTGGGTCGCATCTGTGCTCGTAGATTTTCTCTAACGAAGAGGAGGTGGAGGGGGATGAGAGAAATAGAACAGGGAGGAGGAGGAGGAGGAGGAGGGGGACAAGGAGGAGGTGAAGCAGCAGGAGGAGAAAACGGCGGAAACGAAGGGCAGATGGGGAGGGAGGATCGACGACGACGACGACGACGACGACAGGAGTCAATATCAATATATTTGCGATATTTCGTTCCAGGGGCAAATTGGATGCGTTTTGGTGCCATCGTCGCGTCCTCCTGGGGGCACTTGTGGGGGCCAGGACGTTGTGGACCGTAGTAGGTGATAACAGACGCTCTGCTCTGCCACCAACGTTTCCCCACGGATCGCTCGGACGCTCTGCTTTTGGGTGTCCACAACGCTCGCTCGTATGACCTGCCACACATGTGTCCACACCCTGCGTCCTGGCATGCCGCGCCGGTGCGGCGCTGCAGTTGCAGAGCGATGCCTGCCCGAGGTGTTTTGGTCAGGGAAGTGTATCATCATGCAACTTGACAAGGACGTGACACCCTACGCAGCATCAGAAAGTGTTGCTGGGCCGATTCCCCAGCGCGTGTTTCGCCTCCGTCATGCTTTTTCTCCTCGCTCCTCTCCTCTTCATCCTTGTCCTCCTCCTCGTGTTCCTTCTCGGTTCCATCCTTCCCTCCCCCCGTTTGCCTCATGCCCTCCTCCTTATCATCATCCTTCTTCTGTCTTTCTCCCTCTCCCACCCCCCTCCTTGGGCCCGCTCCTTCTTGATTCCCTTTTCCTGCTCTTCCTTCCGTTCCCGTTGCACCATCGTTTTGCTTTCGCCTGCGTGCCCGCGCGGGACGTTGCAAAAACGTTGTTGCCCGTCTCGCGGCGGGCGGCCGCGCTGCCGCCCGCCGCCCTTTGCCCGTCCCCCCCCCCCGCCCCGCGTTGCTCGCGGCGGCCGTTTCCGCCATCCCGCGCCCCCGCCGCCCAAGCCCGATTCGGGGGGGGGAGGACGGGCGGGAAGCAAACGTGGAAATATCAGAAAGAATATTCGGAAACAGGAGCTACGGAGGTCGAGTGCACCCGGGTGGGGATCGAAGATAAACTGCAAAACGGATTGGGTGTTGGCGATCGTTGCGCGTTTCGTTCGCGCGCCCGCGCGTTCGCCTTTCCGCGCGCCCGTCGCCGCGCCCTACTTTTCCCCGAAAGTTCCGCCGCACCCGTGCGCATGCAACGCAGGAGCGCCCGCGCCGTCGGCAGGAGTGCCCGCGCCGTCGGGCACCGTGCCCGTGAAGCGACTGTGGGGTCGTCTCCAAGGGGTGCCCCCGCGAGGCGCCCGCGCGGCGTCGCTTTCTTTGCTCAGTGTCCTTCGCCAGATGGCTGCCCCGAGGTTCTACTGCGGGCGCAGCTGCGGGGCGCCTGCCCGCGCGGGCTGAGCGGGATTCCCTTAGACGCCCAGCGCTTGGAGACGCCCGCCACGCGCGGACTGGGCCTCGACGAAACGGAAAGCGCATCCTTCGGTAGCCGTTTTTCAAAACTGACAATCTGACCGGATCTGCGGCGCAGCGTGCGACATCGATTGGCCCGCTGGAGCCGCAGCGCGAAATCTCGCGCGCGATGCGGCTTTCCAGTTCTCGAGTGCTGAGAGCTGAGTGCGAGCTAGGCATTCGTTTGCATCTTTTCTCTGATCTGGTTGGCCATCGCGCAGGCGGCCGCCGCGGTCCGCGCGGCCCCTGGCTGGCCTGTGCCGTCGCTCTTTCTGCGCAGCCCGCGGAAGTGTTAAGCCGGGCCCCCCCCTGGGGGTGGGCAGCTCCGGCTTGCAGGGCGCGCAATTCGAGCGAGTTTCGCCACTTGCGTACACGTTTGAACGTTTTTCGAACCGCGTACACGTTTGAACGTTTTTTTGGGGGGACAGCAAGCTGCACGCGCGGCAAGACCCAAACCCAGCTATTCGGCTCCCTTTTCCAATGGGGGTGTCGTCGGGGAACATGAAAAATACATTTGGAACCCGTACCCCCACCAACCCGAAATTCGGGTCTTCGGGTTGAGTTGGGTTGGTTTGGTAGGTAGTCACAAGGCGGCGACGTTGACGGCCACGGCCGCAACCAGAGGGAGGGACTGGGCGAGGGAGCGGCCACCCTGAGCTTGAGCACCGAAGTTTTCCAGAGCTAGAGCAGCCCAGGGGGGGGGGAGCGGCCCAGGGCCAAGGGGCACGAACTTCGGGAGGGCGTCGCAAGCAGCAGTTTCAATACCCTTTTGCGCTGCGGCCCGCAGGGCAAGTCGCGGCGCGCTGTTGCGGCTCGGAGCGCGCGGACGAGAGCGCGCCCATTTGCGCGGGGACGTACTGTTTGTAAGTCGGGCCAAACCAGCCCGGGGATGGGGCAACCCGTCGCCATGGGGCGCGCGATTGCCTCGCCAGCGGTAGATTTTACGCCTTTTTGCGCTGCGACCTGCCCGCCAGTCGCGGGGAACCGTTGCGGCTCCCCGCGACTTGCGGGGAGAAGCCGAAAGACCGCCACTTGCTCGGAAACGCCGAAAGTCCTCGCCGGTTTCGTCGCGTTCGCGAGTGGTGTCGCGGCAACAGGGCGACGATGACGATGACACTGCCTATGGTTATAATCGAGAACAGGGGCAGAACATGAGACGGAGGGGTTGGAGGAAGAGGAGGATGAGTAGGAGGAAAAGGCGGAGGATGAGGAGTTGCCCAATACAGCTGCCCAGTACACGTGAGGCGATGACCCACGGAAGCTGCGCTACAACCAGTGGGCCAGCGAATCTCAGCGCAGCACGGTGCACGTGTATATCGTTTCTTTTTGGTCGGCCTTTCCCACTCGGCAGTTGTGTTGCATGTTTGGTATTGGTTGTTTATTCCCCCTTCCTCTACACTTGCGGCTGACATCGTTATTCTGGCCCTGATGCACTCTGCTTTTGCCTTTACTCTCTAGCTCTCTTGATCCGCACGGGCCTGCTGCCTAATGTGCTTACACCGCTGCGTTAAGTCGATACTTTTGTCGAGCAACATTTGTCACCAGCGCGCTGCAAGTTTTGCGGATTGTTTGGCTAGCGCCAGAAAGTTGCGGAGGAGGAGCAAGGATGAGCAATCACATAATAATTAGCAAGGAGTGCTGTGCGCCTGGGCAAGGGCTGCATGAGCATTTGCAGCGCGCGTCTGCCCAGTTGACCTTCGCGCTGCAGGGGCGAGCCTTTCGATCCATGCGTGGGGATGCGCCAAGACACGCCGTGTGCCCCCGTGCGTGATCCGTCAAGCGTCTGTCTCAATTGCTCCAAACACAATATGCACTTGCGCTCGTAAGCGCGAGGGTCGCCGCAAATGATCGGAAACGGTACTATTGAAAATTCAATGGGTTTATGAACGAGGGGGGGGTCAGGCACGGAGGAACGTAGCGCATGATGACGCACGTGCGCGCATTCAGAACCCTTCGGGAACAATCCTTGGTCCTTGGTAAACCGCGCTCGGCTTTCGCGGTGCTGGTTAGTTACTTCGCTGGGCGAAATCACTCAGGCTCGTGAGCCTTGGTCTTTTGTGAGATGGGCTTCCTCCTCTTTCCCCACACTCCACACACCTTTTCCTCTTTCCTCCCCGCTTCCCGCTCCTTCTTCGTCCCTCCTGTTTCCCTTTAGATATCTTCCCTCCTCATCCTCATCCTCCCTTCTCTCCCCCCCCTCCCGCAACACTGTCCTTCCGCTCGCCCCCGGCGAAGGCATGGGAGGAGTGCCGGCCAGAGGGCTACACCGCCGATGAGAGGCCGAGGGGGTGGTCTCGAGGGCAGCGCCAGGCAGTCAGGAGGCCGTCGTCATCCGATGCGGCCCGATTCCTACATGTCGTGTTTGCGCATCCAAGCGTAGTCGGTCGGATTCGATTTGGACCACGTGCCGATGCAGCCCGATCCGATACACATTCCGAACCGATTTGACTTTCCCATTCGATTCCGACAGGTCTTGCAGTTTCTTGGCCGCTAAAAGCATTGCCAAAGGCCGCCGAACGCCCCCGAAGGTCGTCGATGACAACTGCGGTGGCTGCGGTGACGTCGATCTTTGTGGTTTTCGTGATTGTTGGCGCCGTCGTTATCGTTGTCGTCGTCTTCCCCTTCCACTCTTCATGGAGTCGTGGAAGCCCCTCTTTGCTGTCTGGTGCCCCCCTTTCTGAAGGCCCCCTTCTTCAGCTGCAGCCCCCGACGAGTTGAATTGAATACAGCTTCGTGGAGTCCCCTTCATCGTCTGGACGTGGATGCACTGCAGTCCCAAGTCCCCGACGTCATGTTTTTCCGCAGAGGGACCCCCAAAGGTCTCGGTCCATTCCCCGGGGCCCGCCCTTCACCCAGGAGGGCCCGCAGGTGCCGAAAACAGTAAGACATGCGTCCGTCGCGTTTTAATTCGCGACGCGACGGGGTCGTAGGATGTTGGTCGTCGTCGTCGTCGTCGTCGTCGTCGTCGTCGTTGTCGTCGTCGTCGTCGTCGTCGTCGTCGTCGTCCGTGGCGGTCGGCGGTCGGCGGACCGCCCCCCCCGTTTCAAAGGGGGAGAGCGTGGGGGCGCGGGGCCACGGGCGGGGCCGCCCGGACGCCTTCTTCACGACCTGGATGGGGGCCTCAGAGATCGGGGGCGGCAAAGAGGGGGGTGGTGACCAGGGGGGGGTGGATATCATGGCGCGGGCCATGATATCTCCGCAGATTTCATGGCGCCTCTTCTTGTTCCACTACGTCCCAGGCCCCCCCGCGGGGCCGCGCACATGCCGCCGGTCATGATTTGCACCCCACCCTCTTGGACACACCCTTCTTGGCCGCTCCCGATAAGAGACGGGGATCAGTGCAAACGGGGGTCAGCCAGAGCGCCGGGTCTTGCAGGATCCTGCAGGGACAGGGTCTCACTGACACGGGTTGGGGTGCAGGATCCTGCAGGATCTTGCAGGATCCTTCGCATTGACCCGGGTTTGGGTGCAGGATCTTGCAGGATTCTGCAAGGCCTGACTGACCCGGGTCTGGATTGACCCGGGTCAGAAGATCACCGGTTGGACGTGGAGTCACAGTCAACCATGATTCGGGGAACGAAGAATGATATAAACATAAGAGCTCGGAGGTCCGCGCGGATTTCTCGGATCCGCGCTGGGGCCCCCTGGCGGCGCCTCCGGCGCCGCCTCTGGCGCGCTACACGCGCCGGGAAGGGGGGGTCCAGCGCGGATCCGAGAAATCCGCGCGGACCTCCGAGTTTGTATGTTTATGTCATTTTTCGTTCCCCTAATGATAATCAGGATGGGGCAACTTTCCAAGGCTACCCTTGCATCCTTGCCCCTTCGGTGTTCGGCATGCTTCGGCATTCTGCCGCGCTCCGCACGGGAAACGTCAGCATGGCGCTCCAAGGCCCCTGCATCCTCGCCGCGCATCCTCACTATCCTGGTCGAGTGTAGGTGTAGCCAGGTCCTACCATTAAGTCGGGCGTGTCCCCCTACAGGGGGATTTTCGACGAAAAATAAATCATCCCAGTGCGACCCTACCTATGAGTTGGAGCATTCAGGAAAGCATCATCTACATCTACACCGACAGCTACATGTACACCTACACCTGCATCTACATCTACATCATCAACATCAGCAGCGAGACTCACATCTACATCTACATGTATACCTACATCTACATCTACATCTACATCTACATCTACACCTACATCCACATCTACACCTACACCTACATCTAGGCTGCGTCTTGGCGCTATGCTATGCTATGCAATGCTCTGCTATGATATACTATGCTGCGATGTGCTATGCTAAGCTATGCCTTGCTATGCTATGCTATGCTATGCTATGCTATGCTATACTGCGTTATGCTATGATATGCGATGCTATGACATGCTGAGCCATACATTGCTATGCTATGCTATGCTTGGCTATGCTATGATATGTTGTGCTCATGCTGCGCTGCGCTATACTGCGCCAAGATAAGCTAAGCTATGCTAAGCTAGGCGAGGCTAAGCTAAGCAAAGCCAAGCTAAGCTAAGCTAATATGAGATAAGCTAGGCTAAGCTAGGCTAGGCTAGGCTAGGCAAAGCTAAGCTAAGATGAGATAAGCTAAGCTAAGCTAAGCTTTGCTAAGCTAAGCTGGGTGAGCCCAGGGGGCGCAACTGGGGGAACCGCGGGGCGGATGCCGGGGGAACCGCCCGGGGCGAGGACCATTGCCCGGCCCTTTAAGCATATAAAGTAAGAACCTTTCTAGGCAGAGCCTAGGTAGGGAAAAAATACACCAAACATGCACCAAAAAGGTCAACAAAATACTCAAAAAATAATCCCCAGACTATTTTCGGACTATTTTTTGTTTATGTTGGAGGTATTGTTTGTTTTTCGTCGGAAATCCCCCTGTAGGGGGTGAGGTCCGACCAGGACACTTGGGAGAATCCAGCCACGTCGACGAGGGCTCACCAGGACGAACAGCAGCGGTGCCTTCCCCTCCTGATTCTCTGCGGTCGTCGGCCGTCCGCCGTCGGTCCCTCGCCGGTCCCCCCTGTTTTCCGGCGCCGTCGCGGTCGCCGTCGGTCGCCTGCCGCTCACTGTGCGTCCTCCGTGCTCCGTGCTCCGTCTCTGGGGGCATACCCGGACCCCACCCCCCTCCGCCCCCCACTCGCAGCCCACAAACGACCGCGTCGTCGTCGTAATCGCACTCGTAGTCGCAGACGTCGTCGTCGTCGTCGTCGTCGTCGTCGTCGTCGTCGTCGTCGTCGTCGTCGCCGCCCGTCTTCGTCGTCGGCGGTTTTCGCGACCGGCGGCGGAGCGGCGGCCGGGGGGCGCCAGGTGGGCCGCCCGCGCGTTGCAGGCCCTCGCGGAGAGGCGGCTCGAGGGCGCCCGCGGCGCCGCCGAGGCCGCCGCCGCCGCCGTCGGCGCCGCCGCCGCCGCGGTCGCCGCCGTCGTGCGCGGCACCTTCGAGGCCGCCGTCGCCGCCACCGCCGAAGCCGCCGAGGCCGCCGCGGCCGCGCGCGGCACCGTCGAGGCCTCCGTCGCCTCCGCCGCTGGCGTCGTCGCCGGCGTCGTCGGGGCCTGCCGCGTTCTCCTCCCTCCTTGCCCGCTCCGCCTCATCTGCTCCTCGTCTTCCTCTCCCCCTTCTCTCCTGTGCACTGCGGCTTCGGCTTCGGCTTCGTCGGTGGGTGCATCGCGAAGCGCCTTCGGGCCAGCTCACTCGAGTCGGTTTTCCGCTCATATGGGTGCCTCCCTTTTTTTTGGGCGTTGATCAGACATGAAGACCGTGGCTTGTTGCGTCCTCCTCCTCCTCCTCCTCCTCCTCCTCCTCCTCCTCCTCCTCCTCATCCCTCCTCATGGGGTCCTCTCATGCTTTCACACCCCTCCTCATCACTCGTCCTCCCTGCCTCCCTCCCTCCGTCCCTCCCTCCCTCCCGCCCTGCGCTGCCCCCGCCCTGTGTGTGCAGTGCTTGTGGGGTGGCGCGGGGCGCCGGCTCCCGTGCCGTGCGGCGTGCCCTGGCCTTGAAGGCGGAGGCAGCGGCCATCGGCATGCGGCAAAAAGGTTCAAGACCTCCTTCTCTCAGAGCGTGCGCGGGGGAGCCTCTGTGGGCGCGCCCGGGGCCTCTGCGGGCTAAGGCCTCGGTGGGCGCGTTTGGGGCCTCAGTGGGCTGCGTCGGGGGCCTCAGTGGGCAGCGCGCGGGGTCCTCTGTGGGCGCGCTCGTGGCCTCTGCGGGCTGGGGCCTCTGTGGGCGCGCTTGGGGCCTCTGTGGGCGCGCTTGGGGCCTCTGTGGGCTGTGTCGGGGGGCCTCAGTGGGCAGCGCGCCGGGACCTTACCTACCCCGCTTTCGCTTCCAGGCCAAACCAAGTCATACCACGTGCCTCCCCATCAAGCGGCCTGACCGGTGCGGGCCGTAGCTTGGTATCGCTTTTGGTCGGGGGGTCCGGGGAGGGTTTCGAGGGTAGGGTCTTGGTGGCGGTAGCGGCTAGATCTGAGGGGGGTCCCTGGGACCCCCTGAAACATCTTGGGGATGCGCAAACCATTACGAACACGCCAGATGGGGGACCGCCCCCCCCCCCCCTTCCCCTTCCCCGGGGGAGGTCCGGACGCGCAAATCGTGCAGAAAGCGCCCCCCCCCCTCCCCCCCTTCCCCGGCAGAGCCGCCCCGGCGACCCCCCCCAAGCAGAGCTGAAGCCCTTGCTAATAGGCTCAGAGCTGGAGCTCTGGCTGAGGCTCCTTGCAGCTCACACGCCGGATCGGCGGCCAAGTCATGCCACGCGCCTCCCCGTCAAGCGGCCTGACCGGTGCGGGCGGTAGCTTGGTATCGTTTTTGGTATATGTTTGAAGCGCGGGTGGTCAGATGCGAGGCAGGCGCGCCCGGTCGAGGGCCCTCGTCGGGCGGGCCGAGTCTTCGTGGCACAGCTGCGCAGCGGCAAATCCTCCTTTCCGCCTCCTCCTCCTCCTCCTCCTCTTCCTTCGCCTCCTTCTCCCTTTCCCTCCCTCCTTCGAGGCCCTGCCCTCGTCCGATTCCTCCTGCGGGCTCGTCTGCCGCCAGGCTCTGCGCACAGCTGTGATCAGTGCTTGCGGGAATGCTTCATTCGCCGTCATCCCCATCCCTCCTTCGGCGTCTCTGGGTGGCCTCTCAGGCCTTCCAGTCTGCTGTGCTCGTTCGGCGCCATTCTTGGAGCGCGGCGTCCGCCAATCAGCGCCGGCGTTGCCCAGCAAGCGCGGGCCCAGCAGCGCGGCCCGCAAGCGTCATCCAGCAGGCGCTGCCGCCCCTGTGCGTCCGCTCCTGTCGGGGCCAGGCCCGCGTTGCCTTGCCATCGTCTGGGGTCGCACACCGTTTTTTTGTTGCGGCGTCCGTGTGTTAAGGCAAAACCCGCGTATTGAGGGCAGGAGACAGTTTTTCAGCCCCCAGCAAAGGCAAACGTGGTCGGGGGAGGATGGTTCGCGCAAGCACCGTTTGGAAATGCCCAACAATAGCCAGCCCCCGCGCGGCACCTGCGCGAAGCGTGACGTGACCAGGAGCGGGGGGGTACAGGCTGGTCTGGGCTGGGGGGGGAGGGGATCATCATCCCGCCTCTGGCCGTCGGTCGTCGGCTGTCCTCGGCCGCCGTCTCCTCGGGGCGGGGAAACGGGGAGGACGAGGGAAAGGTGGGGGGGCTGAGGGGGACGGGGGGATGTGTGAGCGGGAGGGGGGAGGAGGAAGAGGAATAGAGGAGGAACGTGAGGAAAGGGGTGTGGAAGAGTTGGGGAGAAGGAGGAGGAGGAGGAGGAGGAGGAGGAGGTGGAGGAGGTGGAGGAGGAACAGTAGGCATGAGAGGAGGAGGAGGGCGAAGAGTAAGAGGAGGAATGAGAGGAGGAGGACGAGGAGGAAGAGGAGGAAGAGGAGGAGGGGGAGGAGGAGGTGGAGGAGGGAAAGGGGTAGGAGGAGGAACGGGAGGGGGAGGAAGACGAGGGGGAGGGGGAGGAAGACGAGGGAGAGGAGGAGGAGTCCTCGAGAGGCTCCGCGGAGCGCATGGCGCCCCCCGGAGGGCCCCGCGCAGGGCCCCGCCCGCGAGGGCCCCGCCGCGCCGCCCCGCCCGCGCCCCTCTGCCCCTGGGTGCGGAGAGGCCGCGGACGTGAGGGCGCTGCTCGCGCCCGTCGGGCCGGGGGGCTGCTCGGCGGTGCTGCAGCGGATGTTGCGCGCCCACGGCGGCAAGGCTGGGGCGCCGTCGTCGTCGTCGTCGTCGTCGTCGTCGTCGTCGTCGTCGTCGTCGTCGTCGTCGGTCTGCTTCCTCTCTCTTCTCTCAGAGGCTGGTGGACCACCTGCCCGGAGGCGTCGATTCGCGAGCTGGCCGTGTTCGGTTCGCGAGGGGGCGTGGCGGCCGTCGATTTTGATACCAGGCCGTTTTCATTCAAGGGTGTTTTTTCTAAAGGGAGGTTTGTCCACCGCCGATTCTCCGAGACATGAACTGGTGGCGCTCCGCGCAGATTTCTTAGATCCGCGCTGGGCCCCCCCCGGCGGCGCCTCCGGCGCCGCCACTGGCGCGTTGCGCGCACCTTAGGTGGATCCAGCGCAGATCCAAGAAACCCGCGCGGAGCGCCAAAAGTTTCTGTTGACGTTTTTGTTCTCCTTCTATCTTCGCGGGAGGCACGTCCGAAGGACGTGTAATGACCGGGCGTCGGGTGGTTTGTGTTGCTCCTCTGCTGCGCTGTTCCGCTGTGCCCGCCCTGGGGCGCTGCTGGCACCACGGGGGGCGGATGCGCCCCAGCGTGTCGGGCGCCAGGACGAGCATGCGAATGTCCACGAGGGCCACGGGAAGTTCCTCGTCGTCGTCGATCGAATGTTGCAGGCTTGCGCCACATCCGACGGCTCCCTTGCGATTTCTCTTGCCGGGGACGTAGTGTTGTCCGGGGATGTCCCTGGGAAGTCCAGGGGGCGTCCTACTGCTCGGCGGTGCTCGAAGAAGAACAACAAAAGCATAAGCATAAACTTTCGGAGCTCCGTGCGGATGTCTTGCATCAGCTTTGGGCGCCCCTGGCGGCGCTTCTGGCGCCGCCCCTGCTGCGTTTTTTTTTCTGGCTATAAGTATGTTTGTACAGGTGTTTCTTCTTCTCTGTTGCAGCGGCTGCTGCGGATCCACGGCGGCAAGGCCAGATCGCCGTCGCCCTCGTCGTGGTCGACCGGACTTTTGTCGACCAGGAGGTTTTTCCTTGGTTTCGGCTTTGGGAGCCCTTTGTGATTGGGCCCTTGGGCCATCAAAGCCAGATCCAGGGTAAAAGAACTGGCCCCGGGGAAGGGGTCGAGACCGTTAGAAACGCGCATAGAACAAAGCCACATCTTCGGACGTCTGGGAATGGATCCCCCCAGTCGCCGATCGAGGTCGATCAGGGACAAGTTGCCGTCGGTTCTCGGCGGCTTTCGAGCCTCGGGATGCTCTGCAGCAACCGCGGCTCGCCGAGATTGTCCATCCTTTGTGGGCCCCGGAAACGGCAGGGCCGTTTTTTCACCGTTTCCCAAAACATGTCCCTTGAAACAGGAAACGGCAAAGAAACGGCGACCGGAAACGGCAAGAAAACGGCTCCAGGATTGGAGCTGGAGCCGGAACCGGTCAAAACACGGCGAGGGAACGAGTAAAAAAACGGCGTCGGAACCGGCAAAAAAAACGGCAAAACGGAACCGATAACAAAACGGCCCTGTCGTTTCCAGGGCCCTTTAAGTCCATCGTCCCAGGGGGGCCCGGATCGGCCCGAAGTGCGACGGGGTGCGCGGACGTCGCGGGCCCACGCTGGCGGTGCCAGGTCGCCGTCGTCCTCGTTGTCGTCGCTTCGCTATGGCGCAAGCTACTCAGAGCGTGAATGACCTCCCCCGCTTTCGCTTCCAGGCAAAAGCAGGCCATACCACGCGCTTCCTCGTCAAACGGCCTGACCAGTACAGGCCGCAATTTGGCATTGTTTGGTATCTCTTGGAAGCGAGGGTGGTCAAAAGCGATGCAGGTTTGTTTTCCCCCGAGCTACGATGTCCGCAGTTCCTTGTTAAATCTGGACATTTGTCCTAGGTGCCAGCTGTTCCTTCGGGGCCCTCTCTTGGGCCCCAGAGACCCTCAAGGGTGAAGAGCTGTCCCCAGGGAAGTGTTCGAGACTCCCTCTGCAGGCGCTCCTAGAACAGCACCACGTCGTCGGATGTCTGGGGATAGGCCTTCCCCGTCGCCGACCGATCTTGTCAGGGGCAATGTCAGGAGCAGGTTGTCTTAAGTCGGGCCTGCCCCCCTAGAGGGGGATTTTCTACGAAAAATGAAAATTACCCTGAACATAATAAAACAAATGATCAAAAAATGGTCTGGGGACTGTTTTTTAGATTTTCTTGCAATTTTGATGTATTTTTTGAGTATCTTTGATTTTTCTTCGAAAGTCCCCCTGTAGGGGGACAGGCCCGACTTGAAGGTCGTCGTCGGCGCTCGGCGGCTGCCCAGCCTCGGGGCGCTCCCCCCCAGCAGCGGCGGTCCGCCGAGAGCGTCCACGTGCTGCCCAGGTCGTGCCGAACGGCCGCAGGAGGCCCGAGCTCTCGAGGCTCGTCTCGGGGGGGACCTCCCTGGGGGCCCACCTGACCAGGGGGCCACATGCGAGCCCTACCCCTCCTCCTCCTCCTCCTCCTCCTCCTCCCCTCCTCCTCCTCCTCCTCCTCTCTCCTCCTCCTCCTCCTCCTCCTCCTCCTCCTCCTCCTCCTCCTCCTCCTCCCCCCACGAGTTCTGAGGGGGAGGGTGGGGTTCACATCGTTCGGGAGCTCCCGAGCGAAGTGAGCCCCCACCCTCCCCCTCAGAACTCGTTGGGGGTAGGGGTAGGGTTCACATGTGGCCCCCTATTAACGGATCTGTTCCACTCTGGTTCGACTCAGGTTCGGGTCAGATTCGATTCAGGTTCGACACAGGGTCGACACAGGTTCGACTCAGGTTCGACTCAGGTTCGATGCAGCTTCGACGCACGAGTGGAGCGAGTGGCTCCAGGAAGGTCCCCAGAAGGAGCATCTAACGAGTTAGGACCCGAAAAGCAGACGGCAAGGATCACTCGGGTCAGGGGCCACGTTGGGAGGGAACAGGCTCATGGGGAGGACGCATCGGCCCCAAGCCGCCCACGTATCGCCGATAGGGTCCCGATAGCTTGCCCCGCTCGGGACAGTGAAGAGAGTCTCTATATCGGGGGTTCCTCGCCGATCTGTCGGCAATGCACCGCCGATTCAGGCGCGAGGCTCCCCCCCTGGCGAGCCGGTCCCCACCCTGACGCTGCCACTCGCGCCGTCCATCGGCAACGTGCCGCCGATGCTGCTCGGTGCTCCCCGCAGTAAGCCGGTCCCCCCCCTAACGCTGCCCCTCGCGCCGTCACTTCGCCAGGAAGCACATCTGTCGACTAGACGTAAGAGTGACCTTTCGCCGGAGCGACCTCTGGTGCGGGCCGAATGGGTTCCCCCCGTCGCCAGACGCGATGCGACGGTAGCGTCTTGCACGCTCGTGTTTGGTCCCCCCAGGGTCCCCAAAAAGCCGCGCACCAAGGGTCGCCCTTACCCAGGGTCACCCTCGACGATTCGGCCGCAATTCCGAGGACAGCGCCGTTACGACAGAATCTGTTCTGGATCCCACCTTTTACCGACTCCGGACAGTGAGCGCATGGCCGGAATGTTCTAGTGTTTTGGGCGCTTCGGCCCCACCCTGCAGCACCCGCGCGGTGCACGATGCAGGCCGTTCCCGTTCCCACTCTTGCGCTGAAAAATATTATAAACATGCGACAAAATATTTAAAAAATCGTCTGGGGACTAGTTTTGGAGTACTTTTCACCTTTTTAGGACATTTTCGTTTTTTTTTTTTGTCGAAAATCCCCCCTGTAGGGAGACACGCCCGACGTAACCCAGGAGGGAAAGAAACACACAGACACAATGAATCGTCGACTCCCAGGGAAATATGGGAAGAAATATGGGAATTGGGGGGAGAAAATATGGAGAATCATTTTATTTGTTTGTACTTGTCTGTGTGTCCTTGGGCCCCTTGAGTAACCCAAAGGGGCCCTCGCCGCGCCCCGGGGCGCGCTCCGCGAGGAAGAAGGCCCCGGCAGAGGAGCGGGCCCCCAGGGGCCAGGAGAGGCGGCTCCCCCGGAGGGCCCGCCCGGTGCACGGCGGCCGCTGTGGGCCAGGGCGTCGTCGTCGTCGTCGTCGTGCGCGTCGTCGTCGTGGTCGCTGCCGCGCAGTGCTCGTCGTCGCCTTCGGGCACGCCGTCGAGGTCGTGCTCGTCGCACTCGTCGTGCGATCGTCGACGTCGTGTTTTCGCATTCGTCGTGATCGTCGTCGTCGTCGTGTGGTCACCGTCGTGGTCACCGTCGTTGTCGTCGTCCTCGTCCTTCTCGTCTTCCTCGCCCCTAACTTTGAAGCCGTAGAAAGGGCGGAAGGAGGCTGAGGAAAGGGGAGGGCGGGAGGATGAGATGGGGGAGGCGGAGAGGAGGGCACTAGGAAGAGAGATGCTCGGGAGGACTTCCAGGATAGGAGTTGGGAGAGTAAACTGAAGGGAGCAGGGGGTGGGTATAGGGGATGACTGGGGAGGGGCGCCCCTTCACGGAAGGGGTTCGCCCGGATGCCTGTGCCACAGGAACAATTCTTTCTCCTCTTCCTCATCCTCCCTCCCTCCCTCGCTTTACGGTAAGTTTGTGTCGCGCCGATGCCCTCATTTTTCCTCCCCCCCTTTTCTTCTCCCCTCCCTCATCATTCCCTCCCTCCTTCGATTCAGGAACAATGTTTTCTCCCCGTCCTCATCCTCCCTCCCTCCCTCGCTTTACGGTAGGCTTGTGTCGCGCCGATGCGGCGGCGACCCCTCCGCGGGCGTTCAGGGCTGAACGCCGCCGGTGGCCCAACCTTGCGCGCGGTGTCGGGATGCAAAGCTGGGGTCGTCACGGAGCAAATCTGCCGTACCCTCGGGTCCGGCGACGGCGACGACGGCGACGATCACGCCGACGGCAAGCCAAACGAAGCCGAGTGAGGAGTCGTTCAGTCAGGGGTCCGTAGCGAGGAGGAATCGGGAGGCGGGGTCTGGTTGCTGTCTCTCGCCCGGCCCATATCGAAGTAGAGGATATGGTTGCTGTCTCTCTCTCTCTCTCTCTCTCTTTCTTTTTCTCACACTCTTTCTTCATGTTTCTTTATGTTTCTCTTTCTCTCCCTCTCTCTCTTTCTCTTTCTCTCTCTTTTTCCCTCTGTGTGCGTCTCTCTTTCTCTCTCTTTCTATCCTCCGTCCCCGTTTACATTCACGCAAGTTCCAGCCAACGACCCCCCCATGGAAAGCAATGCGAACGCCTCCACTGGGGCCACTGCTGAAGATCCTCAGTACGGATGCTTGTGGTATGGGACTCTTGGCGCTCCTTTGTAGTGAGGGATCCGAAGTGATGCCTGATTGATGAACATTCGTGCCTTAGGGAGACGGAGGAGGCGGATGATCGCAATCGCGTGAAAGAGCTCGACGAGCATTTGATGACGCAAATGACGCACCCAACATGAAAACAGAAAACACAGGGAGAAAGCAACGGAGTACCAAGAAAGGGTCCAGCGGACGCATTCTCCAGAACCCCTTCTCATCGAACATCTTTACCTCTCCTCCCACCCGACTGGTCCCAGCTTCCCTCCCGGCCTGGCAGGTTCGTCGGCGAAACGCATATCCGTATCCGCGACCTCTCGGGCCGGGCCCTCCCGGGATCGCGCCCTGGACTCCAGACCGCGAGGACGCGGATGCGGATATGACCAAGTCGGGCACGTCTCTCTACAGAAGGGATACCCCAAAATAGTAACACAGTTATCTGGGGACGATTCTTCTGCTGTTGTCGACTATGTTTGATCATGTTTTGACCATGTTTTTAGTGTTTCGTCCAGAATCCGCCTGCAGGAGCCCGGCCGAAGGATGTGGTCGCCGCCCGTGATCCCGGCCTGAGCATCAGAGCGTGAATTACCTACCCCGCTTTCGCTTCCAGGCAAAACCAAGTCATACCACGCGCCTCCTCGTCAAGCGGCCTGACCAGTACAGGCCGTAGTTTGGCATCGCTTGGTATCTCTTGGAAGCGAGGGTGGCTAAAAGCGAGGTAGGTTTGTTTCCCCCGAGAGCAGGTCCACTTCCTCTACTTCTGGAAGGCCGTCCGAGAGGTCTCCCGCGTGGCGGCGCCGGACCAGTCCGAGGCGGCCGCAGGGGGGGGCGGCCGCGGGCCCTGCGCCCGCGCTCCCTCTGCGGGCCCGCCGCGAGGCCCTGGAACGATGCGGGCCGTCTCGGGGGCCGTCTGCGCGGGGCTCGTGGCGATCTTGAGACCCGCCTGGGCCGTCTGGAGTCTCGAGTCGAAGAGGACGGAACGGCATGACTCAGGAGGGAACAAGAACACACAGACACAATTAGTCGTCGATTCCCCAGTAAATATAGGATAATATGGGAAGTGGGGGAGAAGACGAAAACCCCAATAATATCGGAAAATATGGAGAATCTTGTTGTTTGTGTGTATTTATTTGTGTGTCCCAGGGCCCCTGAACAGAAAGTCGCGACGGTCCGCGCGAGCTTCTCGGGTCTGCGCCGGGCCTCCCTGGCGCCGCCCCTCGCGCGCTCCGCGCGCCAGGGAGGGGAGCCCAGCGCAGATCTAAGGTTAAGTCGGGCCTGTCCCCTACAGTGGGATTTTCGACGAAAAATTAAAAATTGGCAAAAATTAATAACAAATGGTCTGGGGACTATTTTTTGCATATTTTTTACCTTTTGGGGGTATTTTGGGGGTATGCTTTATTTTCGTCGAAAATCCCCATGTAGGGGGACAGGCCCGATTTAAATCTAAGGAATCCGCGCGGACCGTCGAAAGTGTATGTTTACGCGGTTTGTCTCTCGTCCTCTTTTTTGAATTCTCGAGCCATCTCGGAACCGAGAGTGCCCAGGCAATCTTTGGGCAGTCTCCGGGCCACAATTAGTGTCTTTCTTGTGGCTCTCCTATGTCTTGCCTGAATCATCAACCATCACGCTCTGAGGGCGCTCCAGCAGTCCGCGCACCCCCACCCCCCCCTTCCCTCCCGCCGCTTAGTCCGCCTCTGTCCCTAATTTTAAGCCGGGCCTGTCTCTACAGGAGGAACACTCAAATATTACCAAACAGTAATAAGGTGACGATGTTTTCATTTTTGAGCATGTTCGAGCATTTCTGAGCTATTTTAAACTGTTCCTCCAACATCCGCCTGTAGGGGGACATGCCCGACCTAACCCTAACTCGCTAGGCAGCAGCCCTGTTGTAGCTTGACCGCAGCATGGGTCCAGCGCGCCCCAGATCCGAAGAGTTGTCCCAGACCTATCTGGGGCTGGGCCGAGCACCAGGCAGGCACCGAGGAGGCAGGAGTCCAGGCGCGCTGCCGCAGAGACTCCGCGAGCATCCCGCTTGCCTTCGCGCGCGCCCCGGAGGTGCACGGCGAAACGGGGGTGCAGCGGGCGGGAGTGGTCTCTTCCAGAGTCAGCGCTGCAACGGTGCATTGGAGATGCGGCGCGGTCCTACTCGGACCCCATCGAGGAGGCCTCTATTGTGAAGGCCTAACGGCCGGTGCCGCCGACCCTGAAAGACATCGACGACGACCAGGAGGGGGAGGAGGATGAGGAGGAGGAGGAGGAGGAGGAGGCGGAGACAAGGACTCCATCTAGGAGGCCTCTATGTCAACAAAAAAACAAACCTTCCAACCGGGTAGTGTGAGACAAGCCACGTACTCGTTCAAAAGATCACCTGTGCGCCCCAGGCAGGCGTGGGCCATGTGTCTGCATCGGAAGATCATTCATTCCTTTCTCTGATTTCGAAATTTCCCTCCTGCAGAGTATCACAAACGAGTAGGGCTGGCTTGGTGACTACGTGTCGTATTTGTTCTCCGCAAGCACCAGACTTCTTGACTCCGCAGAGCGGGATTCACGGCGGGCCACCAGAGGGAAGATCGAACGCAGATTTTGCAACCAGTGGGTGTGAGAGACATTGCCTCGACGAGGGTCGGATCCAAGAAGTACAATGTTTATTTAGGGCGTATGTGTGCCCATTCGGGGATTAGGGGGGTCTTGGAGTCCAGATACAGACCTTTTGTGGTCCATGGGGTACGATGTGCGAAATGGTGTGCCGAATTGAGGCTGGAAGGAGCCGTCTCGGGTGCTAGCTGAGCGCCCAATTGAGGTTGCAATCCAAAGTGTGTGAGGGGTGTGGCGAATTGAGCTTCCCATCCGAATGAGAGGGCTCCCTCCGAGGCAGATTTATCCAGGATACCTCAAGCGAGACGGTCATTATTGATACTCGGAGCCCCCTCCGAGGCTTCTCTGTCGAGGATGTCTCTAGCGAAACTACAATTTTTCCGCCCATGTTGAATGTGGTGGTCGTGGATCCGAAGCTTTTTTTGAGAGGCTCGATTGGGCCCTGGGAGGCCTTGCGGGGGCTTCGCGGTGGCACTTTTGGGCATCTTGGAGGTTTTCGGGGTTTCCTTGGCATTTTGGTTGCATTTTTGCAATGTTGGAGGCATCTTTGAGGTTTTTGGCATTTTTGGTTGCATGTTTGGCCATCTTGGGCCTCTCGGGAGTGTCTTCGGGGCCTCTGGGGGCCTCTTGCGGGCCCCTTCGGGACTTGCTGGCCGTCCTGGGGGCCATCTTCAGAGGAAACGGCTTTACATGGCAAGTCATATTCCCCCTTGGGGGCCCCCTTTGGGGGCATCTGGAGCCTCCTTGGGGAGCCTCTGGGGCCGCACTGGGGCGCTCTTGGGCCATCCTCGTGCCCTCCCGGGAGCCCCTTGGGCTGTCTTAGCGGTCGCAAGCACGAAGGAGCGGGGGCCACGAAGGGCATATATATATATATATATATACATATATATATATATATATATATATATATATATATGGGGCCACGGAGGACAGCGAGGGGGCCACGAAGGGCTGCAACGGGGCCACGAAACAAAGCGAGGGGGCCACGAAGGGCTGCAACGGGGCCACGAAGGGCTGCAAAGGGGCCACGAAAGGCAGCGAGGGGGCCAAAGCGAGGGGGCCACGAAGGGCTGCAAAGGGGCCACGAAAGGCAGCGAGGGGGCCACGAAGGGCTGCAACGGGGCCACGAAACAAAGGGGCCACGAAGGGCTGCAACGGGGCCACGAAGGGCAGCAAACTCCCGATTCCTAGGTAATCTGTGTGGGAGTCCTAAGCGTGAGCGCGACTCCTGGGTGCCTGGGTGTCGGGAATGCGGCGCTTGAGCAAATTGCATGAAATTCCAACGCAAGGGCGCTATTCGTCAGTAAATTGCAAGCGCGTCTCCAGCGAGAGCGCGACTCCAGAGCGCCGGGAAAGCGATCCTTGAATAAACTGTAAGGATGTCCCAAGCGAGAGCGCGATTCCTGAATACAATGCGAGGAAGTCTCTGGCGGGAGCGGGGGTCCTGGCTAAATTGTGAGGAAGTCTCAGGCGGGAGCCGTTGTTGTTGTTGTTGTTGTTGTTGTTGTTGTTGTTGTTGTTGTTGTTGTTGTTGTTGTAAACCGGGGGCCAACGACGCAGTTTGACCTTCAAGACTTTCCTTGATTCAAACCAGGGTGCGAGCCCGGGGAAGGGCACTTCAATCGAAAAAAACAATGTGCACCGGACGGGGGGGATCAACAATAATTATTTTTCAGAAATGAGAGTCTGACAACAACACCATCACCAACAACAACAATTACAGCAACAACGCAACAAGCAGAATCCTCACCACGGATCGACACTTTAGCCACGCACCCACGGACAATGAATGACCGTTCGGCCCCCTCAC